TACTGTTGATTACACGTAGAAAAAAATGAATAAATATTGTTACTAATTACAGTTCAGACTCCATAATGTCATGCATTATGTAAATGTAGTCCATATAATTTAAATATTGAGGCTACCTACCCTACAGTGACATTTATTATGCAAGCTGAAGTTTATGCAGACTAAAGCTTACAGTCTTATTTACCATGTTAAACTGACATGAATAATTTTTATATGAAGTGTAAGACTTTACAATATTATTCATTAAGCAAGCATACTATTTAATCGTGAAGATAATTTAATATTATTTATGGAAAATATTTACTAGAATAAATATTATCGTTAACACTGCAAGAAATTATTTTATTATTATATTAAATCAAGTAATTTAATTAAAATGATGGCTAATACTCTTAGTAGAAGTACAGTAGTTGAGTACAATGTTATGACAGTAAAATAAGATATAATACTTTGCTTTTGCTCTCAATAGATATCAGTGTTTGTAATTATTTTTTAATGTTAATGTCAATGTGATTTAAGTAAATATTAGTGAATTAAAAGCATATTGTTCTTGTTTTTATTTTTTAGCGCGCGTTGTACGTTTTCCCACCAATCAGAAGCAGTTGCCAGGCAGAGCAGAATCCGCTGACCAATCGCCTCCTTGCTCTGATTGCGGGCTTGCGCGGTAGCGCTGCTAGCTAGCTAAGCGTAAACAGTCCAAAAACCGTGTGAGAATAAGTTGCAACGCGTCGGTTTCGTTTGTTAAAAATGCGGGAAAAGTTGGTTACGGATGAAATTCGGATGTGAAAACCCACTTCGGACCGGTGGCAAGCTCCAGTGGACGCGACTGTAAGGTAAAGCGAACGACGTTGGCGCACTAGCTGCTAGCATTAGCATCGCTAGTTAGCGGTAACAGGCGCCAGCTGCTTCCAGCGCTGTGGCGGCTCATTAAAGGGGGCGTGTGGCGCGTCTTAGTGTCATTCAGCGAGGACGAAACGGTGGTGTTGCTGCTTCAGTCAACAGGTTGTTTACGTGGAGAACAACGAGGAGTATAAGAAGATGTGACGGTAAGAAAGCGCTGATTTATTTCATGTATTTCTAGCTGCCAGCACACTGTATGTCTGTGAAGTGCATAAAGCAAGAAGTCGCTTTGTTTTGGCGCATTTAAAGCTGTTCATTGAATATTCTGTGTAATAACAACCAGTGCAATGATCAGTGTCAGTCTGTGTTTCAAAAGAGCAAAAAACCCCAAAACAAACAAACAAACAAACAAAAAACCCCATAACGCTCCTAATTAAACGATCGCGTGCAGCTGCGTCAACAGGTTGTTTTAATTAAGTTTGTTAAAGTTGTGTCGCTTATTTCTAACGTGATCTTTAAAGCACCATCAAAACAAACTGTGTCTGTGTCAAGCCCATGAATGCATCCTGTCACTTTGTGCAGATGAACATGATCTAAGTATTGTAGTGAATAATTAACTGTCAAAGTTACTTAAAATATAATTACTGAAATCATAACTTGCATATGACATCATAATGTTGGTGTTTTCATGCTCAACTGATGTATTTTAAAAATAAAAACCCTCCAATAAAGTAAATACAGGTGTGATTGTGAAGATCAGAAGCTTCATGAGGACTCAGGTGAGTTTGTTGTCTTTCCTGTGGGGTGGTTTCCTACTTGATTGATCGTCTTCCTGTGCATGTGTCAGTGTATCGGACAGTACAGGCTGCTCCTGAGAATTCCTGACCCAACACAGATCTCAAGTAGTTGTGTGCATGGGGGGGATTGGAATAGCACAGAAGGGGACATTTTAGTCAGGGTGTTATTTGAGGCGGTGAATTAAAACGAGTGACAAGGCCGGGACAACCCTCGACGATCAAGCGCACAGAGCGGTTAGGCTCCGTGTAGAAGCTTCTTGATCGGGCTCTCACTCGGGCACTGCGCCATTCACCGCTGCTGAATAACACGCGTAGTAGTCATTGAAATGTGGCAGATGATTGTGGATCGATGGACAGAGTGTAAATCCGGCTCTTCGGGGTCGGTGCTGGATGAAACAATAACAAGAAAGTTCCAAAAGATGGGGCGCCAGTTTAGCTCACCTGGTTGAGCTGGTGTCCCATGTACAGGGCTTCTGTCCCAATGTGGTGGTCATGGGTTCGAATCCCGCTCATGGCTCTTTTCCCACACATCCTTTCCATTCTTCTCCCCCACTTTCCTGTCTGTCTGTCACTATCACTATTGAATAAAGGCCAAAAAAATAACGTAAAAAAAGAAAAAGTTCCAAAAGATGAGACTGTTCTCAACCGCTTGTCATTAGTTTGGCATCATCTTTGGAGCAGCTGATGTGGTCACAGTATATGAGAAATATGTTAAAAGATGATATAAATGAGTACTGTATTAAAAGAGCATTTGTTACACTGGGAGGTGGTAGTGTGTCCAAAAAACCAGATACATCTGCATGCATGTGACACTGTCCTGGATGCTCTGCCAGCTTTCATACAGCCTGAGTTTGATGAACTGACATGCAGAGCATAT